TTTTTTTTTATGGATAAAGATATCATTTTAATTGCTGATGAAAAAGACCGCACTGTGGTAGAAAATAAATTCAACAGTTTATATAACCAAATTAAAGGTAAATAGAAAAATTTTCAGCTTGCATAGGTTTATTATCAACGCTTAAAAAAATCCAGAAGAAAAAATAGTCTGAGAGTTTGTGACAGCTGAAAACGTTGATAAAACTTAATTGAAAAACCAGCTAAAAGATGTTCAAAAAACTTCAGATTTTTCAAGCGTTCCAAAACCAAGAAAAGTTGCTTAAAACGTAAATGTTGAATAGTTGATCTGCTGACCAATATATTTGTTGATAAGTTTGTTAATTAAGTTCTCTGTAATCAAACATGCAGAATGTTCGACAGCTTATTTTTTTTCAAATTAAAATTACAACAATCTAAAAGAAAAAAAACTACTGGTTATGAGATTAACAAAGATTACTAACTTGATTGATTGTACAGAGTGATGAATCTTATCAAATAGTGGCATCAATTAAACTTAGCTGCAAACAGTATTGCCCGATCTCTTGAGAATCAGTTGTTGAGTGAAAAATAAACGAAAGTTGTCTGTAAACATTGACCTTTTTGCGTATTTTTTGAAATGAAGTGTATTGACAAATTCTGAACAGTATTGCTCTCAATTTTTCTGATTACTCTTTAGTTTTTTCTTCTAGCCCCTCAAAGTTCTATTTTTTTGAAAAAAACTGTATTGTAAAAAAAGAAAGACAGATAAAAACTTTATTATCTGCTGCCTTTATTATCATTTTATTGAGCTTTCAATTTTTCTATAAACTGCTACATCTTCTTTCCAGAAATTCGTCGCAACAACTTGACTGTTGCAATCTAGCAATGCACTATGCGTATTTACTTCAGGAACTGCAATAATTAAACTTGAAAAGCAACTTGACATTTTCAGAACTCCATGGACCAACAATATTTACAATCGAATTACTGAAACTCCAACAACAACCACTGTAGTAACGACAACACCAACCACAACGACATCGACAACCACCACCTCAACAACCACTACAACTACGACAACCACCACACCGACAACCACGTAATAATTCTGCCTTGTCATTTTTTTTACCAATTGCATTCAAGAAGATCTACCGACTTTTTTTTTGCTAAAATGTGCCCTACAAAGGTATAACATGAAAAACATAAAAAATTGAGAAAAAAAATGGCATTAATTTTACTTGTACATATTTTTACCAACTTTTAGTACAACCACAACTGAGGCGACAACTACAACAACACCACCAACCACCAAGGCTCTGGCAACAACGGCAGCTTCACTGAAGCCACTTAACCCATGGGCCAGAATCTGGTCTACCACCGCAGCTCCACGTAATAACGTTAACGTTTCTGTGCTACAGTCAGGCAGCATTCGTCCGCTAAAGGATAACCAGTTTGAAACAGCTGGTGCTATAACCCTCATCAACGACAACGGAATGCACGTCCTCGTCGATACTGGAGCACCTAGTGATACTGAGCGCCTTCTCCAAAGTTAGTCTTTCTTCTTCTTTTTTTCGTCTAAAAGTTCGATACATTAAAACCTTCAGGCAATTTGGTAAACTGGATTTTAAAACCTGAGTCATTTATTAAATTTCATGAAATCTCTTTCGGGAACCTCAAAACAAGTAACCAATGATTCTTCCCAGCCGACAAGAAATTTTTTGCACTTTTTTTTTACTAGAACTTTAAAATCGTCGCTAAGACATTTTAAGTTAACAAAGAACTGAGAGAAGCTATTTCTACTCGTCATTCCTACATAATCGTTCATTTAATAGATTGTGATAAATTAAATATTCAACGACCGAAATGCATTTACTTTTATGCTTTTTTTTGACGACAACGGAACGTTCTGTCAACTTCTCACAAACATTAATGACTCAAATTTTATAGTTTTTAACACTTTCTTTCAGGTTTATCGAAAGAAGGTGTAACTTTGGATGAAATTGATACGGTGGTTATTACACATGGTCATCCAGGACATATGGGTAACATGAACTTTTTCGGCCAAAAACCAATTCTTTTCCACTCTATTGAATACATAGGTCGACAAGTCATTCCAACTGAACTTAAGGATGTAAGCTCTAATCGTAATTTCGCACATTCGTACAGCCACCTTAAACTATAGAATACCTTAAACTAACAGTTTTGAGTTCTTATCATAGAAAAAGATTTTTATGGCATGAGCGTTTTTTTATTTCAGAGACCGTATAGGAAGCTTTCAACAAACATTGAAGTTTGGAAAACACCTGGACACACTCAACATGACCTTAGTGTTCTGGTTCACAACGTTGCTGGCTATGGATCAATGGCTGTTGTCGGTGATCTAATACCATCGGAATCTTTGGTCTCCGAAAAGGTAAAATAACTTTTTAATTTGCAGTGCTGCAATAGAAAATGAATGTTCAGAAAACCGGGGGATGCTTTCATCACTGCAGTGCAAAAGTTACTTTTTTTTTTCAGATTGATGTAATGGCTGAAGAAGGCGTGTGGGATTCAGCTATCAAGCGTCAGAATGCAAACTTGATCGTATGTATGGCTGATTGGATTATTCCTGGACATGGACAACCATTCCGGGTACTGCCACAATACAGGTATTTGCATTTTACAGTTTAATTTTATGTTAGTCTGGTAACTCTGAGTGTTTATTGCTTTACTGCAGTTTGCATTAGAAGGTGCTGTGAACGAAGAAGAATTTCAGATGATAAAAGGAGAATTACGTTTCCAGTTTCTTTTTTCCTTATTCCTAGTTCCAATATCTTACCGTTTTCAGACAAAAAGCAGGATGCACTCGTTTGCTTGCTCAAAAACATCTGTTGAACCAGTAAACAAAGTCAACCCTTCTCCCGAACTCTGAAAAAAAGGGAAACCTAATAAAGAAAAGGGAACAGTATGGGTGTAAATTGTATAAACAAAAAAAGAAAAGAACATGTGCTTATACGTAGGATAATATTCGTCGCTTATCAACCATCCGAATAATTCCACCTTTATTATTCATTGTGTGCTCTAAAATGTAATCTTTCTTTCTTCCTTTCTTCACTGTTCCTGTCTAGAAGAAGTTTATCTTGGTATTTCACAATTATGCCCTCATCCGCTTTTGTGCCAGTTCTCTGTAATGCAAATGCGAAAATTCAGTCCGAACTTGTCACATCGTCAACATCGGAATAAGGCAGCGATAACTTATAATTAACCGTTCAGATAAAAAGTGTACAAAAAAACTGAATGAGCACGAGGGATAAATTGAATGGACAGTGGTTAATTACCGTTTAAAAGATCGTTTCTTGAAATTAAAATTTATAATCGTAACTGACTTCTGTACCAATTATCTGAACGGTGAACAGAAGCGATCGCGCTGCTACAGTTGTTGTTTATGTTGTTGTTGTTGTTGTTATTGTTTTGTCATTGACACTGTTTCTAGTTTAAATAGATCTATACAAAAAAAGTTGTTAAAATCACTGTCAACATTTAATTATGTTGTTTCCTGTTATTATTAAAACTGTTGTTGTTTTTGTTGATAACGACGGTGACGATGAAGATAAATATAGGAATGTGAAATGCTGTTTCTCTTCCACCTCTCTTGTTTCCTTCCCTCAGCATCAGTAAGCAGAAAGAGCAACTAAACCAGTTTCTGTTTTAAACATTTCTTTAGCTTCGGAGTTTCCTTTTCATCTCGGTTTTCTTCCTGGAGCTTCCTACGTTAAAATGTTATTTAGGCA